GAATAAAATTGTTTTTCAAACTAAATTTACATAAAGCTCTTAATGTTTGGTGCATTGTTCATTTTAATGAAAAATTACATTATTACTACAGATTATTACAGGTTATTAATCTGTTTGTGGATTATATTCTGCACCTCCAGCAGAACATCTGAACATGGATGGATGTGATGATGAGGTGAGGTTACATCATGAGATGAACAGAACACAAACAGAACCACAGAACTGACAGGTGGACCCAAACACTCAGTATCTGATGGAGGATGGAGTGAATCAATGTTTCAAACACTCAAACATGCAGTGTTTTTGGTAACTGTCTGTTTGGGTCCATATCCCGTCCAACACAGAACCACTACAATGAGCTGTCCTGCTCATCAGACCTACCCTCTGCAGACGTTAACACTAGAAAGAGACGTCAAGAAGAAAAAGAGAATTATTCGAGCTGACTTATGGCTGATCATCAGTCAGGACTGGTCTGTAGAACCGAGTCTCTTACGTGTTCGCTCGCTTCCTATCAGGTCCTCGCTCTCTGATTCGTCAGGGTAGATGGCCGTGACCGTCACCACGTACTCCGTGTCAGGGTCCAGGTTCTCCGGAGTGTAGGAGATCTCATCACTGTTCAGGATCTCCTGGTGATGGATATTTGAAAACAGCATGAAGGTGTAATATTCCACAATGCTTTGCTTCATATACAATGTTTTTTAAAGTTTGTAGGTTGAATAAAAACTAATTCTAACTTTACACAATCTAAAAAATATCTTTAACATCTTTCTTCTCCAAACCCCAAAAAACTCAGGACTTCCTCTGTAACGATCTGAGTTGTGACAGAGACAGACTATTATTTTGAAACTCCACGTTCTGTTTTCTGAAGACCCTCTGACTGAATCTTCCCAAGCATCAAAGACAAACTCACGTTCTGAGCATCGGTTTCTCCCTTCTTGACCCAGGAGAACCGGTACAATGCCACATCAGGGGCTCCGTGTTCCCAGGTGGCTTTGAATGAGGACTGGGTCACATCAGAGAACCGCAGGTTCTTTGGAGCAGGAACAACATCTGTTCACACACACACACACACACACGCACGCACGCACGCACGCACGCACGCACGCACGCACGCACGCACGCACGCACACAAGAACCGGAACATCAGAGAACTGGCTGAGATAGAACCACTCTGAAGTCTGGTTCTGCGGTTCTGTCACATCAAATGTTTTCAGCTTCATCACAACCACTCAGACCAGTTAGATCTGAGTTCAGACAGAACTCTGCAGAACCTCAGTGTCATTTGGACATTTTCAGCTCAACTCTTCAGTACAGAGGAAGAACTCAAAGTTACAAGAAGGAAATGGACAGGGAACTAATAAAACTCAGAATGAAACCTAGATCCAGACCTGTGATGGCAGTTCCGAGCATTGGGATTCCTGTTCCCTCATCATAAACTGGAGCAACAGCGACATCATACTCAGTCTGAGAGATGAGGCCGGTCAGGGGCAGCGTGGTGATG